TTCCTACTCTTTATTCCAATATGCAGGTTATTCCTATCCTTTAGTTTATATGTAAACGGACTCTTCCCTCTCTCTCTTCCCCTCTCCCTCCCCCTCCTCTTTTTCCCTCTCTTCCGGCCCACTCCTCAGCCCCCCGGGGAGTGTCGTGGCCCCCCGTTCTATCGACGCATCCTGAACGACAAAATGGCCGCCGTTTGAGATCCTAGTAGACCCAGGATACTTCATGAATATCCTACGCCAGAGAATAAATGTCTCCTAACAATATCCTATACGCCAGAGACTCAATGTCTCCTAACAATATCCTACGCCAGAGACTCAATGTCTCCTAACATGTCCTACGCCAGAGACTTAATGTCTCCTAACAATATCCTACGCCAGAGACTTAATGTCTCCTAACAATATCCTACGCCAGAGACTAAATGTCTCCTAACAATATCCTACACCAGAGACTCAATGTCTCCTAACAATATCCTATACGCCAGAGACTCAATGTCTCCTAACAATATCCTACGCCAGAGACTCAATGTCTCCTAACAATATCCTACGCCAGAGACTCAATGTCTCCTAACAATATCCTATACGCCAGAGACTCAGTATCTCCTAACAATATCCTAAGCAAGACATTCATTAAAATGAAGCATTCATTTTGCATTTATGACACTTTTTAGTTTTTTCCGCTACTCATGCCAATCAAGCACTTGAATATCCTGGCACAATGTAATTTTGCTTTAAAAGGAATGCGTCAGCAAGTCATTCATTATGAATTATAATATGAGTTTGATAATATGATAATATTGCTGCAGAACGCGCTCGCGAATGGTACTGAAACTAAACATTCTTTTAATTTTATGATGCACATTAATGAACATTATATCTATATGCATGTGTCAGGAGGTAATATTAAGCGCCACCTAACTAATAATATATGTTCAACAGGAGAACAAGGATTCGTTGACTAAATAAGTGGGGATAAGTATAAGACACTTCTCTATATTAACTAATTTTGATATTTGATGGTAATATATGAGTGTTATTACATTTACAGACAAGTAGATGGATACGATTGTTAGGTACACTATTCGAAGAAACAGTGAAAAAACGGTATTGCAAGCGTTCCAGTAACCAACCGCCTAGTGATAATAAACCGTTTGGCCATTTTTTCAGATGTTACACGGGTTTCTAGTGTAAAACTTGAATAAAAACGGTAACACGATGTTTATTTTCACGTGCCTTCCGGTTACTGAAAGGCCGGTAATACCGTTTAATGTTGATTTTTCTAACAGTGTAGGAGTAGCTGTAATATGTGTTACATCGAGGCGGTCGAGCTAACTACTGGGGGACTTATTAATGTGCCCAGCCCTTTTATAGACTCCTACTTCCGCCCACTACTGCGCGAAATTAACGCGTGATGTTGTCTAGACGCCGACTCAGTACTAATATTTTTCAATCAATCTCTACATCAATCCATCAATCTACATAAATCTCTACCACGTCTAGTGAATATTACGTTTTAATTCCACATGATCTAATCTTATAATATAAATAATGAATAAAATGAGATGCCTACCTGACACTGGACACATAAATAAATATACTGATGGGCATTTAATTAATATGACGGTATTTATTTTACTATTTCCATACTTCTTCAGCCTGCGCTAATTCTACAGCGAAACACTTTTCACTGTGTACGATATTTTTACGAGTGTCTAAATCTAAGTCAAAAAATCAACTGCTAAAAATTTACTCTAAGGAAAATATTTGGTCATTTTAATTCTATCTAGAATTTTACCTAGCATTTTTACCCTGCGATTCTAACTAATATTTCTATTCATCACTTTTACTCAGCAATTTTGCATTGCGTTTTTATCCCAGCAATTTACCTCGCATTTATACTCAGCATTTTTACTCTGCGTTTTCTATTTAGCATTTCTACTCAGCATGACTACTCAGCATTTCTACTCAGCATTTCTACTCAGCTTTCTCTTCAGCATTTCTACTCAGCATGTCTACTCAGCATTTCTATTTAGCATTTCTAGTCAGCATTTCTACTCAACATTTATATTCAGCATGTCTACTCAGCATTTCTATTTAGCATTTCTATTTAGCATTTCTATTTAGCATTTCTATTTAGCATTTCTATTTAGCATTTCTATTTAGCATTTCTATTTAGCATTTCTATTTAGCATTTATATTTAGCATTTCTATTTAGCATTTCTATTTAGCATTCCTACTCAGCATTTCTACTCAGCAATTACAGTCAGCATTTCTACCTAGCATTTCTACCCATGTAATTCTACCCACAATATGACATTGCCGCTTTCAACTTTGTGACATGTTATTTTATTTTCAACTGTTATTGTTGCGTTAGCTGTTGTCTTATTACGTCAATTTTTTAATTTTAATAACGTCTGTTCACTGAAGTAACTTATGGTGTGCTTTTCATCGCAAGAAACTTATATCTTTATTATTTAAGAACCATTTACCGTATATTAGTTCTCTGATATTCAAGTTTAGTGATTTCAATAGAATAATTATAATAAAATTACTCTATTAAGAATTATGAAACTACAAGATTATACGGGCATTAATGCAGAATTTTTTGGGGCAGAAGATTCAACTAATGAACTAGTTTTCTTTGAGAGAAAACTCTGTTCCCTACAATCGCTGCATATACTCATGATTTTCTTATAGGTTATTATAATTATAGCTGTATCGGTTGTTATTGTGTAGGCTGCTGCAGCTTAAATTGACTTGTCTAAATCTTTTTTGAACATACATTAGAATCGTATTGTATAGAATTCGTAATTTTGCAATCGCATTCTTTTATTTCTCTTTCTTTTTTAATCACTTTTGTCTGTATTTTCTGAAGTCTAGAGGCTCTAGATCCTATATAGAACCTAGAGTCTAGAATATGAATCTTGATTTCACTGAGCCTATTACAGCCTATCAATTGTACGGGAGTTGGAGGCTAAATCGTACATGCATGGAATTCTATTTATACCCAACATCCCAACCTGTACCCCGTTTCCCACATGTCCCTGCACTTCCCCGCCTTTCACCCCTCTTCCCCATCAGTCCCCTTATTCCCCACCTCCCTCATTCCCCACCAGTCCCCTCATTCCCCATCAGTCCCCTCATTCCCCACCAGTCCCCTCATTCCCCATCAGTCCCCCCATTCCCCACCAGTCCCCTCATTCCCCACTAGTCCCCTCATTCCCCACCTGTGTAGATGAGCTTCTCGATGTCCCGGGGAAGAGCCTCTACGTCGTCCTTGAAGCGACGTGCCGTCGCTGGGGAAGAGCATGGGGAGCAGCGTGGGGAGATCCTGGGGCTGCGGGCGGGGGCGGGGATGCTCATGGGGCTGCGACGGTCCATGCTGGGGAAGCGGTTGAGGTTGTTGGGGTCCAGCGTCCCGGGCCGCGAGGCTCGGTCCCCGATGTCCAAAAAGTTATCCGTGGTGGGGAGTGATGGGGAATATTTGAATCAAAAGTGATATTCGTTGAGGGGATGAGCAGAATTTTTGATTACAAATTTATTTTTGTAGTGGGGAAAACACGATTTTTTTATACCAAAACGACTTCCGTTGTGAGAGTAGCAAGAAAATTTTTAGGTAACCCTGATTTCTGCAAAACGAGATGATTTATTACTATTTAATGGGAGTTTAATGAAACGATGATTAATTTTCTTAAGAAACACAATTTTTTGCTTCTAGAAACCTCGTTCTTAAGAAAATATATCAGGTTCTATAATTAGATTGTCTCAGGGCGCTGCTAAACAGGATATCCTGAGGCGGAATTTAATACTAAATAAAATTTTAAAAACCATTTTTAATATAAAAACCATATTTTTAATATATTCCGTGCTAATTGCGGCAGAAAATAAAACATGGCCGCCAAAACTCATGTCCAATGTTCTACACTCGGAGAAATAATTAAGCGAGACTGTGTCCGAATAACGTGGACTTTATCCCTTATGTGTGTCATCTTGACTTGGCAAAAGAGCGTGTCAGTGCTACGTCCGCTCGTGCTGTGCGCTCATAATTAAGTGTGTCACTATTTTAACAATATGATCCATTAATTTTTTAGTTAGACGCTAATTTGCTTACAACCATTACAATTAATATTTCATTTTGTATCATGTGAACAATGTATTAAATTTTATTCTCCTACTAGTGAATGCTATATTGAATTAAAATTTTATATAACGGGATGAATATATTAAATATAAGTTCTGAGTTAGAAGAATTTGATACGAAACATTTTTTGCCGTAACCCAACCGTCCGTAGTGCTCATTTGCAATTTTTTTACGTATAACTTTTACCGTGTAAATAAGTATCATTGATGAAAAAAGTAAGTCCTAGAGCCAAATTAACATTAAAGAACGTTTCAGTTTGTCCAATACGCTGCTTTTGCAGTTCAAATGGTAAAATTGTTATTTTTATTCGTATAAAAAATCAAATTTTTACAAAAAAGAAACAAGTAACATATTTTTACTCGTATTCTCGTCAGATAATGATATATAAAATTAATAGCGCTTAATTAAATGACATAATACTTCTAATCCAATTATATTTTATTACTTTATTCGATAGTAAATTAATTGATTAGCAGTCAGTCCTCTCAATAATATAATACTTTTAATTGATTTAATTGAAACAATAGTGAAACGTTATCAATCTAAAAGGACTCCGTGACATAAAATTGTCATTAAATTGATTATCAGCCAAACGTGATCAACCCAAATAAACTCGATCAATGCATGAAGTGTAATGAATATTATAAAACTAAGTTTATTCTACCGCCTGATGGTCAATGAAGGTTAATGAGTATTATTAGATTAAGGTAATTCTAGCGCCTGATTCCGCATTAAAACCTCAAAGGTTATTATTGAGGAACGCGATGTCAAATAGCTATAAGTGAAGGTAATGTCAGACGGTGATACTGAAACTTTTTATATATTGCAATAATAATAGTATTAATATATAATAATACTAATATAATAATAGTAATGCTAAAGCACTTTTAATACGACAATAGAAATGCTGATGAATTTTTGACAGAACAATAATAATGCTGAAAGAGCTCTTATTGTACAATAATAATTGTGATGGCTCCTTTTCATGCGCACGTAGCATAAATTCGCGAGTTTTCAAAGCCATGAGAATCGATATTTTAAAAGCCGAAGTTAATCAATAAAGTCTCGTCTATTTGTAAACGATATTTGGAATGCATTAATTTAGTGTTTGATTAATATTAACACTATGATGAATGCTTGATGCTGCGGCATAAAATACATAAGCAAACAAAACGTCGTTTTTGCTGTCTTATATATATAGGTAATTATGTTGTGCATTCAAGAATGTAGAAGATTGTCATTGTTGCAACGTTGAACATTGCAACATTGAACATTACAACGCTGAACATAACAACGTAGAACATTACAACCTTGAACATAACAACGTTGAACATAACAACGTAGAACATTACAACCTTGAACATAACAACGTAGAACATTAAAACGTTGAACATTACAACGTTGAACATTACAACGTTGAACATGTCAACGTTGAACATAACAACATTGAACATTACAACGTTGAACATTACAACGTTGAACATTACAACATTGAGCATTACAACTGTAGAGATTAGCGTTGCCATTAATGGTCAAATAAAGGAGTGTACGGATTAAAGTTGCCATTAATGGTCAAATAATGTAGCGTAGAGATTAGCGTTGCCATTAATGGTCAAATAAAGGAGTGAAGGGATTAAAGTTGAAATCAATGGTCAAATAATGTAGCGTAGAGATTAGCGCTGCCATTAATGGTCAAATAATGGACTTAACAGCATAACATTATCATTCATGTTCAAATACATATACCGCAGTGTACCGAGTTAGGTTGTCTTCAAAGGCCGAATAACTAATTGTGTTGATTAAGCTTGTCAAATAATGGATTATACGGAATTATATACCGCCAATAATGGTCAAATAATGGATTATACGGAATTATATACCGCCAATAATGGTCAAATAATGGATTATACGGAATTATATACCGCCAATAATGGTCAAATAATGGATTATACGGAATTATATAACGCCAATAATGGTCAAATAATGGATTATTCGGAATTATATAACACCAATAATGGTCAAATAATAGCTAATATACTGACAATAATATAAAAAATAATGGAATGTAGGGGAATAAAATTGGCCCTAATATCAACGCGGCTGCAACAATAACACATCAAGAACAATAATTTAGCCCCACATGCATTAACATAATCAGGGATGTTGGTATTGCATATAGAACATTCAATGGCGTACATAAAGTTCCTGGTTTTAGATTTAATAAGATGCATAATTTAGGTATACAAAGATTTTTGTTCATGATTTATATAGATGCAATGTTCGTTGCCGCGGCGCAATGAACAAATATCTTAAATCAGTACTCAGAAATCCTCATCATAAATAAATTAATGTATATTATCAACCTTTTACTCCAAGGAAAATATGACGAAATTCAAAAGCCGTTAGGTTCATCATTTTACGTGTTTAAATGCGCCTGGGATTAGAAAAGATCGCGTCTATCCCGAATAATTCATGAATAATTCACTTTAGAGCGCGTAAAATATTCATTCGGTCCAATAAGTCAAATTTTAGGTTGTTCATTAGAGCACTAAACACTTTTGTCATATTTCAGCCACGAATTCCCAAAATAATGTTTACATTTTTTGATAATTTTATGGAGTTTCACATGAAACAAAGAGGCTGGTGGGCGACGGCGCGACCGACATGCGTTCCACATGCCGACCTCCTCTCGACTGGCCGGGCAGAGCCGGTGAACCCCAGCTCTGGACGCACAAAAATTGTACCAGCCAATCAGAAGCCGAGTAAGGGGTCGTTGGCAACAGGAAGCCGGCAGGTCACGTGACCTCAGCCCGAGCGACCAATCACATCACCCGAGACGTATCCGTATCGACCAATGAGCAGCCCGGTGACGTATCCAGATCGACCGTCCAGCAGATCCGCGACGTATATCCGGATCGACCAATGAGAAGGCGTGAAGCAAAAGGTCACGTCTCCGTGCCGGCCAATTAGAAGCGCCGGTCTAATAATGCGTAGGCAGGGAAGAGGGGACCGAGGGCCCCTTTTAAAAGCAGGTCACGGGGGGTAGATGAGGGGGGTTGTCGCCCCTCACCGACACCCCTCGGCAGCCATGCCGCGCTCTTTAAGCTGAAATGTATAAGCCATTTACTAGTGCGCTGAAATAAATTCCATTTTACGCCTCTATATGACTAATAAAAATGCCCGCGTGTAGAACAAGGCGTAAAATTAATTGTCATAACGAATATAAAATTACTAATTCTACTCATAAGAGTGATTTCCATCCACAACATTTCTAAGATAAAAAAAATATATTTAAATATTTAAAATTCTTTTTGGACTCCACGTACCACAATCCTGCTTAACTAAAAACTTTTTTGCTAAGAGACGAAAATTTACTGAAATTTGATGGAAGATTACAAAAATTCTGATTTTTCTGATATATGAAGACAAAAATCTACTTGATGCTATCATCACACCACCAGCCTGCTGCTATCATCACACCACCAGCCTGCTGCTATCATCACATCACCAGCCTGCTGCTATCATCACATCACCAGCCTGCTGCTATCATCACATCACCAGCCTGCTGCNGCTGCTGACGTCATCGGGAGGAGCTGCTGACGTCATCGGGAGGAGCTGCTGACGTCATCGGGAGGAGCTGCTGACGTCATCGGGAGGAGCTGCTGACGTCATCGGGAGGAGCTGCTGACGTCATCGGGAGGAGCTGCTGACGTCATCGGGAGGAGCTGCTGACGTCATCGGGAGGAGCTGCTGACGTCATCGGGAGGAGCTGCTGACGTCATCGGGAGGAGCTGCTGACGTCATCGGGAGGAGCTGCTGACGTCATCGGGAGGAGCTGCTGACGTCATCGGGAGGAGCTGCTGACGTCATCGGGAGGAGCTGCTGACGTCATCGGGAGGAGCTGCTGACGTCATCGGGAGGAGCTGCTGACGTCATCGGGAGGAGCTGCTGACGTCATCGGGAGGAGCTGCTGACGTCATCGGGAGGAGCTGCTGACGTCATCGGGAGGAGCTGCTGACGTCATCGGGAGGAGCTGCTGATGTCATCAGGAGGAGCTGCTGACGTCATCAGGAGGAGCTGCTGACGTCATCGACCCCCCCAGCCCCCGCCGTGGGGTAAAGGTCCCCCGCGTCCTCGTGGGGCCTCTGCGTGGGGCGATAAGGGCCCACCTCTTGACTCCCCGCCTCCCCAGGGGCCAGCGGCTTGAATCTTTTGAAGTATAACCGCAGTGGGTGGATTTCACCCGCCAACCGCCGGGTGAGTGTGGCCCGGGTGTGTTGATTTTTACCCGCACGTGTAATGTGGCGTACATAACGCTGTGTAATTAGCGTACATTGCTCACGTCCCGACGTGCCAAAGACGGCTCTGACAATGATTGCTCTTATGCGGCAGTGTGGCTCTCTGGCGGTCTGATGTGGCTCTCATATGTGGCGGTCTGATGTGGCTCTCATATGTGGCGGTCTGATGTGGCTCTCATATG